TTAGCATCTGGTAGTAATGATAAATCTATCCGTTTATGGGATATAAAGACAGGATAATAACAAGCTAAATTAGATGGTCATACTAATTATATACAATCAGTCTGCTTCTCTCCTGATGGTACTACAATAGCATCTGGTAGTGGAGATAATTCTATTCGTTTATGGGATGTTAAAACAAGATAATAAAAAGCCTAATTGGATGGTCATAATGATAGAGTCTGGTCAGTATGCTTCTCTCCTGATGGTACTACCTTAGCATCTGGTAGTTGGGATAAGTCTACCCGTTTATGGAGTGCTAATTTGGAATGAATTAATTATTCTTATAAATACGAGATAATTAATAATTTAATTTCAGTTGGAGGGCGATTTTTATATTATCTTTAGTAATTTCGAAGTTGTTTTTGAAAGGCAGGTTTTTAAAACAATTTCATGTTTAACTTTAATTCTCTCAATAATTCAAAACATAAAATGAAGATTTTGCTGTTAAGTTTGTTTGAAATTTATATCAAAATTCAATATTAATGTTCATTCCTCTCTCAAAGTTTTTCATCATAGTAATCTAGCCTATATTACATATTTTTATTAAAAAAATTTTTTAATCCTCTTTCCCCTCATATTTATCATATCCCATATATCGATTTTTTCTCTTATTCATTCTACTATAATATTTCCAATAAGTATCCCAAATTCCAGTTTTCTTTCCATTTTGATATTGGCCTACATAGGTTACATATGAACACTCCCTATAATCATTATTCAATTCAACCCAATTTTCTAATCTTTAAACCAGACTTCCTTCTTTGCCATAATGATATAATCCATCACCACTTAATATAAAATTTTTTTTTTACATCTTTTAGGTTTTTCCATTATAAACCTAATTAATATTCCATAATCCATTTTTATTTCCGTTTTAAAATTTGCCGTTATATATTACTTAAGAAATATCCGTAAACAAATCACTTAATTCAATCCTTTTTCCAATTTTAACACTGTCCATTCCTACCATTTAATCATCATAAGATTCACCACCACTATAATTGAATTTAAAAATTATCTACATTACTTCAAACTAAAATAATTAATCACTATCCTCTTTCCTCCATACAATATTCCATCTATCAAATTTTTTGCCATTTTTATATTGACTTTATAAATTACTTACGAATCTCTCCAAAAACTATCTGTCAATTCAATCCACTCTCCAATTCTTACACTTTTTGCTTCTTCTTAATTCTCATCTCTATATTATCACCTTCACTAAATCTATTAATTATATCGATACATTAATTCATTTGTATAATCTTCATAATACTTTTTCCATATAATATCCCATCTACCAACTTTTTTACCATTTTTATATTAACCATGATAAATAACTAAACTTAAATACCAAAACCAATCATTTAATTCAATCCACATCCATATCTTTAAGTCTCCACCTTCTTGATACTGATCATCATATAGTCCACCACCACAAAAATTTTATAATTTTAACATCATCATTACATCATGACCATGAAAAGTCTTATTATAATATATATCCCAATTGCCCACTTTTTTATCATTTCTATATTCTCCTTTATATGTAATTTGTAATTAATCCCAAAATCCATCACTTAATTCAGTCCATTTACCTATTCTCTAACCTTGTTCATTATATTCTCCAAAATCACTATTAATTTAATGATTTAAATGATACATGTCTTAATCACAATAATTGTACTTCCAAACTCCGTTTCTCTAATTATTTTCATATTCTCCTATCTCATAAATCTTAGCTTCACTAAATAATGTTGAATTTAGGTTTACTTCCAAAAATTTCCTATCAGTTCCTTCCATTATCCATTTTGTTTTCATCGTTTGAGTATAATTTTGTTGGAAAAACAAAAACTGATTTTTAAAGTTTCCCCTTTCCATATATTAGACCATCTGCCAATCTTTAAATCATTCTTTTACATATTATCCTTCCAATTACAAATGTTAAATTTATTCTAAATTTTTTATTACTTTAGCCAATTTTGATGTGTTATATAATTACTCATTAAAAATATTTTAAGATTAATATTCAAATCCTCATTATTGCTCCATTTTTAGATAGCTTTGTTATTAGAAGTTAGAATGATTTAAAATTAAGCATTGATTAATCTTCCAACCATAGATCATAAATAAAACCTTAATACTATTATTTTTCTTCTTTTTTGTTCTGAACTATCATTTCTATTTTATTTCTTATTAATTCATTTATGCCAGTTCAAATTTTTATTATTTTTTTTCTATTTAAATATCATTTGAGTTTCTTCAATAAATTGAATTTAAGGAAAATTTACACTTTCTAGAATGAAGAATTATGTGATGTGATATGATATATTAATGAATTAATATATTATAGAGAAAAAAAGATTAAAACTGAGTTAATATTATACAATCTTGGGTAAATTAAATATTTAGAATTGTAATGAAATTATGCAGGCGATGGATATAAAATTAATTAATGGGACTATTTTAAATATGTTATTATATCTTCTCATAGTATATACAAGTGATTTATGTAGTTTGGCACAGAGAGGGAAAAAAAATTAGGTGAATTGAATTTCATTTGGAAAATATGTAAAAAATATCAGTAAATAGTGATAGAAAATAATATGACAATTAAATTAAGGAGAAACCATAGAGTATTCTAGAAAAACTGAAACTCAATTTTGAATTTTCGTAAATTTTGATGAACCTAAATCAGAAAAGAGCTTAATTTTTAATGGTTTGTATTGTTTGTTTAAAATTTTGATTATATTTGCATTATTTATATTTATCATTCTAACAGTTTTGATTGACTTAACACATAATTCATAATTTTAATGTGGAAACAATTACAAAAACTTTTATCTGTTTCATTTTTCGGACAATTTTTTACATATTCCTGAAATAACTTTTTTTGGGAAATTACTTGATGTCAATTATCTATAATCAGAATTTTGACTAGAAATCTCAACTATCAATGCAAAGAGTAAGATGCAAAATATTTATTTTACATTTCAGCTTAATCACTAAGTGCCCTTTATTAAGGGTGTACGTGGTTGAAAATTTTTGGTTTTCAATAGATGATTAACGAATTGATATCATAAGGCAAATTAATAATATTAATTTTTATTGATGATTGATTGACTACAAAGATTCTCATCAAAAATTAATTCTAACTATATCTTTAGATCCTACAAATATCTAAAATTATTGAATGAATTCAAAAACTTTTAAATTGATAAAATTTAAATAATTCCTATAGTAAAAATATTGAAACTTGGTTCAACATAAGACCTTAAAATTTTTGCTAGAAACGTAATCTCTAACAACTAAAACTATTCTTATTTACATTTAATCATTTTTCTTGACTAGAACCAAAATTGATTGTCATTATTAACATAGCAATGTTAATACATATACAAGTCAATTTAATCACATTATCAATCCATCTAAGGGGAGAAATAATAGGAAGATGGTAAATAATACTACTAAAACATTAGACTAGAATAGTATTTGCAACTAATTGTGACTCTTATGTAGATAGATTTTATAGACGTTTAGATAATCAG